CTTAGTCTTCAGTGCAGCTACAGCAGCCAAGGCAAGATGAGCACAACTGAGCTGCCAGACAGAAGTGCAGAAGAGAAAGAGCTGCTAGATTATGCCTACGATGGCAGTGCCATCAGATCAGTATTTGTCCTACAGATGTTTGAACTGCATCTCCTTCTTTCACAGACAGCTTCATGCCATGGATGGCCCTGCTTTCAAGATATCCTATTAAGTAAGACAGAGAAAAGACATCATCTCCTTCTGCTTCTGTGTTTTTAGGTTTTGAAAGACCATGGAAAAGACTTCCTGGTTGGCAACCAGCTGAGCAGGGCAGATGTGCAATTACTGGAAATCCTTTTAATGGCAGAGGAGTTCAAACCTGATATATTTGACAAATTTCCTCTCCTGCAGGTAAATGAGTGGGCAGTCTGAATGGATAATGAATTGGAAATGACCACTGATTTAAACTGGCTGAGAAATATGGGAGAGTGGGAGGGTCAGAAGTGATGTGCAAAATAATCAGATACCCTAAGAACTTTTAGCTGGCCCCAGCTACTCTTTGTTTTTATGCCATGTTCTGTCACTACCACTCCAAAAGCATGAGAGGGGGAGGCACAGAGTTTCTTCTGCAGCATCAAGCCTTAATGTGTCTTTCAGAGCGTGGATAACATGGAAATATCTGGCAGTTGCAATTATTCTCAAGCACTGTGCTGTTTTTGGTTTTGTTTTGTAGAGCTTCAAAGCAAGAATAAGCAATATCCCCACAATAAAGAAATTCCTGCAGCCTGGCAGCCAGAGGAAACCACCATCAGATGAGGATGTTGTGGACAAAGTGATGAAAATTTTCTACTCCTGAACAGCACCCTAAAGCCGCTGAAACTTTTTCATAGTATTTGTAGATTGTAGCAAAGTGAAATTGATTAAAAGTGTGGAAATGTCAAATTAATGAAGAGTGAAAAAAGGTGCCTGATCTCTCTTTCCTTAGCTACTGGACTGGTTTTATCCTACTGCAGACTCTTCAAGATAAACCTGCGTGATCCTAGCAGCAAAGGAAATAGTTCACGGGTAAGAGGGTGTATTGGACAACACAGGGTGCCTTAAATTAATTAGAATACCTGAAATAAAATCTTGCTATTGATACTCAAAACGCCACTGTTCATTGGTTTCTTGCTGCTACTTCTTAGCCCAAGGTCTCTCTAGTTCTGTTTTTCTGGCGTTCCCAAGAATTGCTGGAAAATTAGGAGAGATTATCCCAAACAGTAGGCCATGTATTTTTTCTGGGAAATGCCAGGAGAAGTCTGCAGCTTCTGGTGAGGTCACGATGAAAGGTTTGGATTCAGCTTTCCTCTGAGCTTAACTTGGAATGTGCTTGGACCAGAGGTCCTACTGCACCTCTGTCTTGTCACTAGACACACAAACTCTTGTACTGCAGCTTCACCAAGGTTCCCTTTATCAGAAGGTCTATTGTAGCAGCTAAAAGCCCTCTGCAGAATCTGAGGAACAAATGCTTGTCACCAGATTAAAACTTACTGAGAAAGGAGGAGTCAGGATGGTGTCAGGTTCTAGTGAGACCTTGGAATGTAGGAATCCATATTGACTTACATCACTGTATATCAAACCAAGTCTAATACAAGCTGTACTGGAGTTGTTCATTCTTCCAATCACTTAAATCAAGCTCCACTACTGAGGTTACCAAGACTGCTGAACTTTGATAAATATGTGCATTCATGTAGTGAAAGCTGTTTCTGCTCAGGGCAGGAGGGTTGGAACTAGATGATCTTTAAGGTCCCTTCTAACCCAAACCATTCTATGATTCTGTGATATTATTGAAACCCCAAATAAACCAAGTTTGCAAAAGAAAGAGCCTGTGTCCTAAATCCAGCTACAACTAGAGCACTGGCAGTTTTCAGCTGGGCAAACTCAGGGTGCTGTAGCTCTTGCTAAAGCCAACAGTTTCTTCATATGAAATGTGATGTAGCTGGGAGCAGTTTTTGTCATGAAAAAAGGAAATAAACCCATGTTTTTCAGCAGCAATACATGTATGAAAGAAAGTTGTTGCAGGAGCTGTTTCCTTCTTGCCTCACTGAAGCATTCAGACAGCTCATGCAGCAAATGTACAGGAAGGACGTGAAGGAGAAAGACCCTCGTACTGTAACAACCAATTATTTTTGTGTGACACACTGCAATATATACAACCTCTCTGTGTAGCATAGGAAGAATTCTCTCAGTTATCAGGGCAATTGCGCAAAATTTGCACGTATATATTGACCTTGACTGCAGGTAATGGCTGCATCAATATTAACCACATTGATTAGATAGACAGGAGGGGGCATGGGAGTTTATTCTGTATTGACTTTTTGAAATCAATACAGTCAATCAAAGAAAGCAGTCAGAAGTGCAGAGAGCAGTTTGCCTTCTGATACCACACTTCATTCACTGTCTCTTACACTTGTCTTTGGTCTGTATTTTCACTGAGTCATGTTCAGGGAAACATTTTTGACAGAAAAAGAATAAGAAAAAAAAAAACAACAAATACAAGCTCCCAGATGTCCAGAGATTCAGAGAAATTCAGAAGAAGTATCCTGAAGGAATATTCACAAATTAAGTCATAGAAGCTTGTAACAGATACAAGCTGAATTAGTTGATGTGACTTACATAAAGTGGCAAGGTGTTAGAAGTAGAAAACCAGAAAATATTAGAATAAAAGTGGGATTGGCATAGCAGTGTTCTTTTAAACTGAGTGAACTTCTCAGCCATTACAATTATTTATAACTAGCATGGTACAAAGTAATGAAAATAGAAGGCATATTACCATTTTGTGCTGGGACAGATGTTCCCAATCATCATGACATCTTCTCTATCTTACATTTGTACATAGTCAGCATTAGTCAGGGATTTATTTCCTGTTGGTGAGAAGTAACTAAACAGCTAATTGGTTTTGTTTGCTTAAGAGAAAGGGGTTTCCCATTTGTAGAGAACTGTTTGCAGTTCTCTATAGGAGGGGCTACAGGGTTATATAATCTCACGGCAGAACTGCTGAGAGTTTAGAGTGAGTTACGCTGTGAACAAGGTAAATGTTTGTTTTTTTTTATTTTGGACATGCAGGGAGTTGTATATGAAAGTCAGTGAATAGGTTTTATAGATTAAATATGTGTATGTACTTTCTTTACTAATATGGTTGTGTGTACCAAATATTGAATTCTTAATCAGCTGCTTTGGAGATGTACAGAGGTAAGAAAATGAAATATAGATCACAACTGGGGAGTGGCTCCTCTCACCTCCTTCTTCGTACCATCAAGAAGCTGGCATGTTCTTTGCAAGGGGAGTATGGTGGGGGTTTGGGCATTTTCCCTTTGCTGCTGTTAATGCTTCAGCTTTGTTGCTGACAGTGCATCAATGCTGTGAGGCTGGCATAGGCTGGGCACTGTTTGTGTGTGCTTGTTGCTGTTGTGCACGTGTGGGTCTGAGTGGAGTGGCTGACAGCCTGCCGAGAAACTGTGGCTGCTTTAAGTTGCTTCCTAGGAACTGCTGTTGCTTGAAATTCCAGCAGAGTTGGAACTGGACCAGGCAAGCATTGCCCTGTGGTTATGCCTGTGGTAAAGGCAAATCTGATGTTGCTGTGACAAAATTAATTTTCATGTCTTTGAAGGCTTCTCTAAAGAAATTACAGAAGCAGGAAGTGCTGTAAAAGAGGTTGCCAGGGTGAAAGAATCCTTTCTGGCTGGTTTTAATGGAGCATAGTGGCTGCTGGAGAAAGCACAGCAATTGCTGAGTTTATAGCATGTATCTGATTAAACAGTAAACTGTAATTTGAAATCATGCCAAAATACACAGAGAGCACCCTCTGCTTTTTGTTCAGAACAGAACACTTTGGATTGCAAATGATTTTGATTCACTGATTCTCTGACTAGGCATATTCCTCTAATTGTACAGGGTTCTACTTAACTATTCTGCATGTGTAAGAAGCATTTTTTAGGCAGAATGATACAAGGCATTCTCTCAATATAGTCTAACTTTTACCTCCTCTGTTAATTGATTAAAGTCCTGGACAATAAATCATTGATTTCAAACAAGACTATTTCAAGAGCCAGTTGCAGACTCACAACTGCAAAAGTTATTTCTTCATTGCAGATACTAGGAAATCCGGCACGAGGAAACATGTCTGGAAAACCCAAGCTGCACTACTTCAATGGACGAGGCCGGATGGAACCAATTCGGTGGCTACTGGCTGCAGCTGGGGTTGAGGTTTGCCTCGG